AAGGGCAAGACAATAGAGATCTGAGAGTCAAAAGAGGGATGCAAAGGAAGGTGCCAAGATTTAGACTTGTCCTTGATGTGACAAACTAGAGAAGAAGAAAGATCTGTACAAGGTGATGCTGAAGTTACGGGCAGCTTCAGTTTGTTTTACATGTTGGTGCCAGGAAAATCAACTTTGACTTACTAAAGGCTGTGGATCCTTGAACCTGTCTGAAGGAATTATGTTGGTGTTTTAAGGAGAGAGAGGAATACTGCTTATTTTCCACCATTTGCTTATTTTAAATTTGTACCTCCCAATATTGTAATCCAGGTAAGGGAACATTCACTCTGTTTCTACTGTCTGTGGTAGGGAACTTTGTTTTTCATTGTTTTTAAAAACCTTAAAAATGCATAAGCCTATTGCTGCAGTAAGAATCCCTTCTTGTTTTGGTGACAGTGGTGCGTATTTCCGGAAAGCAGCGTTTGTTGCAGAAATATGTGTAAAATGGAATAAAATCTCATTCTGTTGTCTTGGTGCTACACATAAGGCAGCTACAAAAAAGAGTAAATCTTAGTTCTGCTGTGATTCTTCACTTTCACCTTCCTGCTAGCAAAAAAGAAAGACAAAAAGAGAAGAAAGATATTTAAAAAGTATTGCCATAAACTTTGTCTGTCTTGAATAACAAGTTGTAAAGGAAACTGTAGCATCTTTAAAAGATAGTTGCAAGTCAGAGTTTCTAAGGAGATTTTTCTTCTGAAATGTTCTTTGACTTGATTTGATAGCCTTATTTTGCTCTCATTATAGGCCATTCTTTAGAAAAGTACAGAATTGTATGTGATCAAGGTGGGCTTGTCAGGAATAAACTTAGACTCGTTTGCACTTTTCTTTTTGTTGCCTTTTAATGAAATCAATGAAAAAAAATCAGAAAACCCCCTTACAAATACGTGATTGTATTTAGTTAAAAATGTCTTTGTTTATAAGGAGCAATAAAGTATTTAACAAAGTCTTCAGATGTGCTGCATATTATTATAATAATTCATAAAATATCAGGGCTCCCTCCCTAAATCCCAATTTGCAAATCACTAGCTGCTCACAGAAAGTATGTGCATAAAAACACATAAAGCCCATCATAATAAAAATAATGTGCATGAAAGTTATTTTACTAGGAAATGCAGAATTTTAAATCTTCACAAGGCCACCTGATGATAGCCGTTTGCATCACAGATTTCAATTTCTTCTGGAAGGTTATTTTTTCACCATTGAATCCTTGAGCTTCTCAATGTTTCTAAAGTCATTGTTTGGCACTTGGTTCCAGCAAGCATTTTTTTATGATGGTAGACCTCTATTGTCTTAGATTTTCATACCATACTTGCTCCTTTTAAATGAAGATTTATACAGTGCACCACCCTTATCCACAAGGGCAAACCTTTGCTTTCACTGAGTAGACTTTTGAGAGAGAAGTTCTCTGTCTTGTACTTGTAGCATTGTGTGATGTGTGCAGCACATACTACAGTGGTAAAACAGATATTCCCAGGTGAACGGCATGTATAAAAAGAAAAATGACAAGAAGACGTGGCATTAATACCGCGATGTTTGTTAAACATTTACTTTGATTTCTACCCCCCCAACCATGCAATATAAAGTGAAGGCAGAAAGGAGCCTGTAAGTATATTACAGAAGCTGGTGGGAAGCAATATGGCTATCTGGTTCTTCTGTTTAAAACATGAAGAGGGTGAATATAATATATGTGAAAAGGGGAAGGACAGTAAATTTTATAAGGAAGGTGGTCTATGTAAAGCAGAGCAGCATTAGGCCACGTCAATATAAAAAATTAACCCTGGTTTACTGATTGGGTCTTGCACTTCTGCAGGATTCAGACTGTATTCCCAGGAGTTACTTGGGGGGGGAGATGCATCTTCCTTGTGCCCAAACCATTCTGAACGTGGGCCTCTTGTGTCCATACTTCTCTTCCCTTTCACATATACCCTGTGCTGAGGCACATGATTTACAGCTCCAAATCTGCTGAGAGGCCAGTAGCTGCCACCTTTGCGTGTGCGTGCATGTAGTGTTTGCATATGTGCGTGTGCCTGTGACCTTGGTGCCGTCAGGACAGCTATTCTGACTAAACTCCAGCTGACAGTCTGTAACCTGACGATAGTCATTAACTCAGAGACTATCCCATTCCACCACATTAGCAGCTGTCCAACTTCCAGCCTGGCTTTCTGAGTGTCTGAATACTAGGAAGCAGCAGAAATAGTCCGATGTAATAGTTGGTAAATTTAGCCTCCAAAATGAATTAAAAATAAACCAAACTCACCACAGGAAACATTTCTACCCTTTGCCCTTTTCTTTTTCAATACTACACTGAGCATTGTTTCTGACAAATCATTTTAATTTCCTATGGGGAACATTATTGATTATCAGTCATGGGACACAGAGGTAAAGTATGTGATTTATCCATCTCATTCAAAATTATTATTTATTCCCTTTAATCCTGCAGACTTCTCCACCGTTCTGCCCATAATTTAACTCACAGATAGATTCTAGGCTGGTGACAGACCTTACATAAAAGTACTATCGTGCAGTCTTACTATGGAAGGGCCACCTTTTTCCTGGTGGAATGCTTCACCATTGTGTGCTGTAGTGAAAAATTGCATACCCAATATTTGTTCCCCACCTGGCCATTGACAGGAGAACAGTCGTGAGACTGGAAATCCTATTAGCAGCCATATGATGTTTTTTATTTTAATGGTTTCCTGCAAATATAATGAGAAGATCATGCCAGGAAGCTAATAAATTATTATGTACTGTGCCGTACATGCTTTTTCAGTAAAATAGTTGAGAAAAGTTCAAGTTCACAGAGACAGCACGTTCACTTAGAAATCGGTAAATCTCCAGGAGAGAGCGTGATGCATCCCGGGAAGGCAGACTGGGGATGGGATGGTAAAAAGAGCAAGGGAATACAAGGCCTCTGCTGCTTCATGAGTGAAGCTGTTTCACCTTGGTGTCTGGGAGTTGGGTGCAGTGGCAGATGTGTGGTTGTACAGGGTTCTGGTCTGTCTGGTCTTCAAGCAGCTACGTGAATGTTGTGCTGTACCAAATATCCCTTTTCCAGCTCTGGGTAAAAGAACACAAGCTCATACTTACCGACCAAGGATAAGTCTTTTCTTGCCTGTCATGTCTTCACATCTAAAGTGTGTTTAGGCCACATTCATCCTTGACTGAGCTTTGCACTGGAACAGTTGTGGTCTGGCAATCATTCTGACTTCTTCTGTTTATCAGACATGCCAGGACAAAGTTTTTATTTTTTTTTTTAATTTTTTAAATTATTCCATGAGGAATGACTAAAACTGAAATTGTCTATTTTGTCTGGGAGCAGTAAGAGGACAGTTATCTGAATCCAGACGAATGTGTTAAGCAAAAAAAAAAAGTAGAGGTGTCTACTCAATCATGAAAAAACATGTGACTGTCTCAGACATCTCACCACCCATACATACACTTTGTATATCTATCTGTCTGTATATATTCCAAAATAGTTAGTTTCCTGACAACAATTTGAGGACTGCTTAAGCAAAAGGATTACACTTTCTGTTCCATGGAGACATGTTGAAAATAAACATATAGAAGTTCTCAATGAGTGTGAGTTACCATGGGGAAAGGCAACTTGTGAGGTGCTGTGTACTGTAGACAGCAGTGCATTGTAGTATATTTCAGAACAAAACCCACACATCTTCAAAGAGAGAGGCCAATAATAAGACAGACAGTTTTTCTGTCAGTTTCACAGCAATGCTGGGTGTTTATAATACATGCCATACTTTCTGTTGCTCTGTATTTTATTGTGTGTAGGCGCTTACAATATCTCCATTATGGATGCATGTTCCAGTGACCTCTCCTGGGAAAAAAACCTTGTGGAGTAGATTCTTTAAAAGACCCTAATCCCTTTTTATTTGTGTAGCCTGAATGAACAGCTCCTATGGCTGAGTAATTCCTACCCTGAGGAGGATTCTTGAATTAGTCTAGGAAACTGTGGCTGTTCTCTGCCTGGCGTTTTTGCCCCAGGAGAAGACTGGGAGAACAATGGTTGTCAGTCTCCAAGAGGAGAGCTCAGCCTTCTAGTTGCTGCAGTTGAGGCTCTCTCGTCACACTGCTGTTATCAACAGAATATAAAAATAAAATCGGATCATTTGACCATATGATTAGCACATTCCTGTTGAACTCCAGGTGACCTTAATCTCCTGGCTTTTTACAGAACTCCCATGTTTCTCACTTAAGAAAATTTCTTCCTTAACATTAAGGTTTTTCTTTTGATGCTGAAGTAACCTCTGAGTGGTTTGCTTATAGGTTTGTAATGGGCTGCATTGAGGCAGACAAGAAAAGATGCATTGGAATGATCATAAAGACACATTGGGTAACCAAATCTGTAACATCCAGCTGAAGTTTAACCATATCAGAGCTAATTTCTGTTGCTTGGTGAAACACTTCTTGTGTTTTCTTTTTGCCCTATCAGTGTATTGCAAGATTGGAGGGGAAATATTTGCAATTATGTAAACAAGTAGGAATTTACGGATTTGAAAAAAATCAGTCATAGGTTGAGTGAGCTTGGCAACTTCCTTGTGGGATTCAGGCAGTTGTTTATGGATTTGTGCTGCATTTTTAAAACTCTTTTAAGTTAGGAAGACTTCTCTGTGTAAATGGAAGGCCACTGCAACCACAGCTGTCATTTGGCAGTGGAGAGTCGTAACGAAGTTTTGACAACGAAGCGACTAGAACTTGCATTGACTTCACAGCTTCACATTTTAAAGTGTTTGCTCTTATGGCTAAGAAATTAATTTATGTGCATAAATTAAGTTCTGTCTGCCTGCCAAGGTCCTTGAGGACCAAGGAGAACTGAGGGTAGATAGCTACTTTTGCTTTACAACTTTTTGTGGATGTTGTTTTTGCAGTTGGCTCATAGTACCTTCAGTGCTGTAACGTGAGCTATTGTAAAATGGCTGTTGTGTTTTTCCCTTCTCCCCCCTCAGCGTGTGACAGTGACCACTGGGGACCTCACTGCAGCAGCCGCTGCCAGTGCCAGAACAGGGCCCTGTGCAACCCCATCACCGGCGCCTGCCACTGTGCCTCGGGCTTCAAAGGCTGGCGCTGCGAGGAACGCTGCGACCAAGGGACGTACGGCAACGACTGCCACCAGAAATGCCAGTGCCAAAACGGAGCCACCTGCGACCACGTGACGGGGGAGTGCAGGTGTCCCCCCGGATACACCGGCGCCTTGTAAGCGGCGGGGACGTTGCTCATGGGGCAGAGATGCTGGGTCTGAGTGGTGCCGGCACGAGAAAGGAAGTTCAGATTAACTTCTAACCCTGTGCTGTTGGTCTGGCTGCTGTGCGATGCAGGGAAGGGGGGCTGGTGGCAAAGAAGCAGCTGGGCAACCCATGTATCAGGAGCAGCGTGGCGAGTAGGGCCCGAGAGGTGATCGTCCCCCTGTACTCGGCACTGGTGAGGCCCCACCTTGAGTACTGTGTCCAGTTTTGGGCTCCCTACCATAAAAAAGACATCGAGGTGCTGGAGCGGGTCCAGAGAAGGGCGACAAAGCTGGTGAGGGGTCTGGAGCACAAGTCTTACGAGGAGAGGCTGAGGGAGCTGGGGTTATTCAGCCTGGAGAAGAGGAGGCTGAGGGGAGACCTTATTGCTCTCTACACTACCTGAAAGGAGGGTGTAGAGAGGTGGGGGTCGGTCTCTTTTCTCAAGTCACAGGCAACAGGACAAGAGGAAATGGCCTCAAGTTACACCAGGGTAGGTTCAGGCTGGATATTAGGAAAAATTTTTTCACTGAAAGGGTTATCAGCCATTGAAACTCCCTGAAAGGAGGGTGTAGAGAGGTGGGGGTCGGTCTCTTTTCTCAAGTCACAGGCAACAGGACAAGAGGAAATGGCCTCAAGTTACACCAGGGTAGGTTCAGGCTGGATATTAGGAAAAATTTTTTCACTGAAAGGGTTATCAGCCATTGGAATGGGCTGCCCAGGGAGGTGGCTGAGGCACCATCCCTGGAGGTGTTCAAAAGATGGGTTGATGCAGTGCTGGGAGGTATGGTTTAGTGACGATGCTCCTTGTTTGTTGTGTGGGTGTCTATTTTTGTCAGTTAGGTTGATGGTTGGACAAGATGATCTTTAAGGTCCCTTCCAACCTAGAAGATTCTGTGATTCTGTGATTCTATGAAATACCTTTATGAAGAAATAATTCCTGGGTTGCCAGGTCTATTTCCTTAGATTTGTTGCGTGGATGCTATACAGGGTGTGTCTCTTTATGCTAGACTGCTTTCTGTTTCATACTTTTGGCCAGAAAAATTAAGAATAGCATTAAAAATAAAGAGCGGGGCTGGAGACTGGAGCATGTGCCGAAGTAACGGTTGTCTCTGTTGTACCCCACCACCATTCCCAGCTGCGAGGACCTCTGTCCCCCCGGGAAGCATGGGCCACAGTGTGAGGAGAGGTGCCCGTGCCAGAATGGAGGCGTCTGTCACCATGTCACCGGGGAGTGCGCCTGCCCGCCAGGATGGATGGTAAAGTTTTTAATTTCTGAAATAGACACGACCCCATAAAACTTTCATATTTGTAGATTTTGGGTAGTGTCAGAAAAGGGTAGCATATCGGGATAGCAAATGCAGTCTGCCTGTAACCAGGAGTAACGAGAAACATATTTTAGGATAAGGGACTGGAATAAAGTACTTGCAAAACCATCTGTTACTGAAAATACCCCAGTTCTACACTGCCTTTTAACTGTATCAGATTCTGGGAAGCAAAAGACATGAATCATTACTTGACGAGGCAACATACAGTAGATCTTGTCTGGAAGTCATTCATTTCTAGATACAATTTGAAACTATAAGGAGGTGACATCATTATATATACTTTAGCGGTGCTTTTTGAGCCTGTTTTCATATGTATAGTAAACACCCCAAACCTTTAGGTACTGTGTTAAATGTTGGTGATGGAAATGGGACATCAGGACTTTGACATTGTCTTTAGACTTTCTACCCTTTAGTCAGTGGGTAGGGAAAGAAGAATTGACCTCTGAGCTGCAAGTGGCCTCCCCTGCTTCCAGGGGAGTTGGAATGTGATCAAAGTCTAAATGATTTCTTTAAATGCATTTTTAGATAATATTTATCAATAGTATTTTAAAATAATTTTTTCTATTTAGATGTCCATTTTTTGGGAAATCCACATTTAGTGAACTTCTAATTCTGACCTATGGCAGAGGTCAGTTTTTCAACAACTGGAGAACATGGCTATGAATGATCATCTCTGTCTGTCTGAATACAATCACTTATCTAGCTACCTAACTTGGATTATGGCTTTTTTTACCTTTTATTCCACTTCATATTAGAAGAACAAAATGTTTTCATAAATTCTTGACTCCCTTTCTCTGTCTAAATGCAGTGAATGAAAAATGAGATGGCATATGAAGCAGTGACAGAAATTTCATACTATGTGTGTCTTAACTAATGAAGGCCTTTGACTAATTTTCCTCTACAAGCAGTTATTTAAGCACAAGCCTATGTTAGTTTTACAGTTTTCAGTTCTGTGAAACACAATTTTGTCAGTATAACCTTTTTTGCTTTTCTTGTAAGGAAGGTTTTGAAGTATCCAGGTATAAATCCTGCAGTATCTTATGTTAGCTGAAACACCTGTATGTCTTTTGTCTGATGAAATGCCTGTAAATCTGTTTGTCTTGAAATGTCGTTTTGAAAGTCTTGAGATTTGATGCTCACCTCGCTACACAGGTGTAATTAATTCCAAGGATGTACATAGCAGGGCAGAAATTCCAAACCCATTGAAGGGAAACAGACATCCTACCTAAGCTTTTAAGAAATGCTGCTTTCAATGAAACTGCAAACAGCTTTTCCTTTCATCAGAAAAAACCAACATCAAGTGGTATAATTGGGGCATTACAGCAATTACTGATTTCTTCACCATTACTCACTGGAGGGCATTTCCGGATGTCTTGATGTATACTACTCCTGATAAATAAATTGGGGAGAGCTTGACATCAATTAGTCTTAAATGTCTAAGTGTTTTCACTGTTGCTTAGAGATAGTGTTTTTCATTAGCTTTGGCTTCCAAAATGGAAATCCTAGAAGATTATTCCTCCAGTGCTGAAACATACCACGTGTTTAAAGCTGGAGAAGAGTCTGGCATTTCCATCAGCACTAGATGAGTGAAACGAGATCTCCTTGATCTTCCTTCATTTCAAGCCGTTCTTCCTTGTCCATTCAAGCTGCAATCACAAATCTAATATTAAGATTTTAATTTATTTTTTTTTTTCCTGCCTATGCAGGGCATGGTCTGTGGTCAGCCTTGTCCTGAGGGTCGTTACGGGAGAAACTGTTCCCAGGAGTGCCAGTGCCACAACGGAGGAACCTGTGACTCGGCGACAGGTCAATGCCATTGCAGCCCAGGTTACACAGGGGAACGGTACGGAAAACTTATTTTTGCCAGACTGCTGAACCAGCAAGGGGTCTGCTACGACAGAGAAAGTTAAGAAGTTGCTGGAGAGCAGAATGCAAATATCTGTGATAGGATTAAAAGAGTCTTATGAAGTGTTTACCATGTCACTTAGCTGATGTGGGGCATGAGTTAAAAGCACCTACGTGATTGCTCTTCTGTGAGGAACTTCTTGGCGTCAGGATTTTCCTGTTGTGGCCCATGCACTGGCAGTTTCTTGTGGGTCTTCACTTCAGTGGCTTGCAGAATGACGCAGGTTGGGGTATGGTGAGGGAGTGAAGAGGAAAGCTCTTGGTTTTGTGCAGATGTTTGGCATTCATAGTAGCAGGGGAGGCTTATTTGGTTCCTTTTCAAAATGAGCAAGCTGGAGAGTTGTTTCCTAAAGTATTTAATTCAAATGAAGCAGTGAAACTTCTTCAAAACTGACTTGATTGTTAAAAGTTATCTTTGATAGACTGGAAAGATAATATAGCAAGACATCATTTTTGAAGGCAGTGGAAAGTGATGAAAGAAGTGTTTTCCTGCATGTATTTTAAACAGCACACAACTCATTTGCTGAAGTCAGCAGCAGCTTAATCACTGGGGTCAGTCCAGGGGATCTCTGCCAACAACAGTAGGTATTATAACCATATGCACTTCCCACGCGAGCGTTCACAGGACATGGGGAGAGCTGTGCCAGGCATAAGGGGGAAAAAACTCATGAAGAAGAGAAACAATTGGTCCAGAGCCATTTCGATGTCAAAATTAAATTTGTGTCTTTGAAGAAACAGGGCAGAAAGTGGTAGATGCATTTAAAGAGACACAGAGAAGTCAGCAAGGAAATGAAAGGAATATCCAAATGAGAATCTACGCACTGCACTATAATGGTGCTTCTAAAAGCAATTATATTTTTTTTATCTTGGAATTTAAATCTGACTTTAATCTGGAATGCCTCACAGGCTGCAGCATTTTGATCACTTCTGCAAGTCTGAGCTCCCTCTTTTCCTGCAGAAGAACCTGTATTTGCAATTTTTTTTTTTTGTTTTTCAAGATACTCCAAGGGCAGGAATGGGTCAGAAGGAAGGCTGTAGACCTGGTTCTTATTTCATGTCAGTGGGCTAGCAAGGGAGGGAAGTGTTATAAGAAATGTTTGGGCATTGGCTGAGCTGGCACATGCATACCAGCAGCGCAAAGGACAGTTTTTAAAAGTGCTAAGCTATTCTCCACTATTTGTCTGAGATTTTGGTGTGGTGGTGACTCCTAGACCTAGGCCATACAGCAAGAAAAAGGGGACTCCTAGAGCATGTGACAGTTCCGAGGTGATCTGAGTTAGCACAAGGAAATCTAGTTTAAACTACCTTTGTAATTGTTCTGCCTAATACTTTTTGATTGATGCCTGTCCTTACCGTGAAGTGTAAAACAGTCTTTCAGAAGCTGATGAAGATTAAATAAAAAAAAAAAAGGAACTGCAAGGTTAAACTTTGTTGAATTTGGCACGGATTCCTGATTCCCATTTGGAGACAATTCATTCTTAGCTTTATTTGTGTGTCTTTAGTAGGAAACGTTTAAACAGGGTTATTAGCTCTGAAGGAAAGGGGACTTTATTGCTGTCTTCAGTCAGGGCAGTGTTACAAATACCTTGAAACTTACAGGTGACAGTATCAGATTCATGCAGAAGCATGAAATGAACATTTATGCCTGTTTTACCTCAGTCAGGGGGCTCTGCTAAATTCTGTTACATTTTGCAGTGCCTTGTATGACAGATCTTTGAAATTATTCTGTAATAAAACAACAACCATAGAAAAAACCCCGAAAAAAAACAACCCCAAAAAGCCAATTATATAAGAAAAAATGGAAAGAGACCACCAAGGAAATTATTTTATAGGACTGAGGAAATTATCAGGTCATAAGCTGATAAAACCATAATATTTGCCATATTATCAATATTTTTGTACAATCTAACTTGGTAAAACTTGCAGGTACCCAAATTGCAGAAGATGTTATATGCCTTTTATCACCGGTTGAGTTCACAGCACACCTCAGGACTTCAGTATCAGCATGTTCTGTCCCTAAAGCTTTGGGATTTAGCTGTTTTGTCTTTTTGTCTGTGTTAATGTAATTCAGAGTTTATAGGATGCATATATTGAAAAATATGGGGATTTTCCCTGACTCATAAACTATGAAATGCTGTAATCCTTGGTTCTGAGGCATGAGCCTGCTAAGTTAAGAGGTCTGCTCTCATTCATATAATCAAATATTTTAAGTGCACTTAGTGCTGGAACCTTTAGTAATGCTGTAGTAGTACTGGCATTCTGAAGGTTGATAATTCCATTATAAAACACAGAGAAGTTAAAGCTGAAAACATCAGACTCTTATCATATCTTGTCAACACATCGCCAAATGAAATTGCTATCCAGAAACTCATTAGTAAATGAGTCACAAGTTTTAGAAGCAGGGTATTGAAACTTGTCTTTTAGTAATCAGGATGGACAGCTAAACATACAGTTTGATCTTTAGGTTAAGGGAAGTTTTTCACATGTAAAACATTAAGGAAATAAGACTTAGCTAAAATAGCTACCTTCTAAAAGCTCTGTGAATGAAAGACAAACAGTTTGGTAAAGAATTCTCTTTATTAGGATAAGTTTTCCTTAAGGAGCAACAAAAATCATTGCTACTCTCCCATAGGGCTTAAACTCAAGTCTTTACCAATTTTCACTTTCATCTGTTAGAGAAATCAGATGAAAAGAAGGGGTTTGGGTTCCTGAAGATTTTTCCATGTCACCCGAAGAGTTTTTGAAGGACAAAATCAATTAAAAAAAAAAAAAAAAAAAAAGGTTTAAAAGAAAATTCTAAAAAAAAAGAAATTTGGAAAAC